CTCCTGCCTCTGCTATTTCTGTTAAATGGCCCCATCCATCCATTCAAAAAGTACCACCTGAAAGTCTATGATAGGTCAGGCCCTCTGATAGGGCTTGGGAATCCACATGACCCAGGCGCCAGGCCTGCCCCTCACCCATATATGGGCAACTATTGACAAGCTCTCTATCTGTGCCATGAGGGTCAGAGTCAGGTTAGCTTGTGATGAAGTGCTTGGACTCTGGGACCTGGGAGGAGGAACTGACTCTGCCAACTCACTAGGTATATGACTTCAAGCAAGTTACTTAACCTCTCTGACCCTTGGTTTTCTCAATCTGGAAGATGGGGCTAATTATACTTCCTTTGTACCTTCTGAAGTTTTTGCTTAATTTTCGACTCTACAGGTCCTCCACTTTCTCCTCCCTTCCAATCCATTAATCTTCCCAAAGTCCTAAAACCCTGATTCCCTCCAATAGTCTTCCACTGCCAACAGGATATGGCCTAAATTGTTCAGCAGGCAGTTAGGGCTGGCCACAGTTCAATTAATTTATTTCACAAATATTTATTTCAGGCTTGCTCTGGGCCAGACCTGTGCTGGGCACCATGAACTCTTCAGTCTCTGGCCTCCTGTAGCTTACAGGCTGGGTGGAAACGAGTGAAACCGGTGACTCAAATACGTATAATTAGAGCCTATGATAAAGGGTGCGAAAGTGAAAGATCCTCTTTAACAGAGTCTACACCAGTGAGGCCTGGCCTTGTCTGAGAGTTACAGAGGACTTTCCTGAGGAAGTGATGTTTAAGAGTCAGAGGGGGATGATTAGGCAACAGTGAGCAACAGAAGAGGAAGGGAGATTCAAGCAAATGAAATAATACAGAAAAAGACCAGGAGCCTGGGGCTCAGAGAGTGAGGGAGAAAGTGGCCAGAGATGAAGGTGGATGCAAAAGGAAGGTCAGGGTCTATGGGGCCTTGTTTTGATCTTTATCCTGAAGGCAATGACAGCCACTGAAGTCTTTAAATCAGACTTGTAACTGTGAGGAAGAGCAATTGGTGGTGTGTGCATTTTGAAAACGCCAACCTAGATTAGTATGGAGAAAAGACTGGAGGGAGGGGAGAGGGGAAGAAAGGAAATTGATTAGGAATAGGCCAGGCCAGGAATGAGGGGGCTTGGCTCAGGAAGGTGATGACGGGGTGGGGAGAGGTACACGGATTTGAGAAAAATATAGAAGGTAACTTTGGTAGGACTTGGTGATGCATTGGACTTGGGGGTGAGGGATAAGGAGGGGTCTCTGGTTTCTATTGGCATAATAGGAAGAAGCCAGTGCCCGTTCCAGGGACAGAAATGCAGGGCATGCTGCAGGTTTGGAGTGGGGAGAGGATGAGCTAGGTTGGGTGAGCTGGGTTCAAGCTGCCTGTGAGCCACCTAAGGGAGGACAGAGAGAAGACAGTCACAGAACCTGGTCCATCTTCACTGTCCCACTGCTCAGTCTTCCTGTCCTCCAAACAGGACCGTCAGGCCAATCAATTTTAAGGGTCCATCTGGGCCAAGCCTTGAAGTCATTGCTGGGGATGGAAAGGTGACAGGTTCTTTCCCTGCCTTCAAGAACCTCACAGTTTAGGAGAAAGATAGAAGAGAAAGCGCAATTTCCCATTCACTGTGATGGAGGGAGGGGAGGGGCTGTGGGAGTGGGGAAGGGCCCTTAGTTCTGCCTAGAGCCAAAATCAGCTATCTACAGCCACTTATGGCCACCTGCGGGCCATGTGGGACTATCCAGCATTCCCAGAGGGTTCTTGCCTTCATGCCTTTGCTTAGGCAATTCCCCCTTCCTTGAACACCCTTGTCCCCATTTCCATCTGCATACACCCCACCCATCTTCAAAACCTGTTCCAAAGCCATTACCACCAAGAAGCCTTCTTTTCTCTTCCATTTGCAGTCAGTCTTTCCACTGTGCCCCGGTGACCCCCAATGCAAGCAGTGTACATCTGATCAACACGTTCCTCACAAGCAGCAGTTGTAGCATGATTGCTTGTGTCCAAATCTGCCTTCCCCACCAGCTGGAGAAATCCCAGGGCAGAGGTGTGATCCTTCTGCATCCTCAGAGCTGGGCACTGAGCCGCAGTCGCAGCGTAGGCCGAGTTAAGGGGGCGTTTTCTCTGCGGTGCTTGGAAACACTTGGGCATGCTCAGTGAAGCCCATTAGTCCCTTCCTAGAACCAGTCCCCTCTCACCCACTATCCTCCAATCTTCTGACACTCCCTCACTTTGGGGTTCTTTAACCTCTCAGGCCCTTCTCTCCTTCTCCACTCTTAGGCCCCCCCCCCTCCCCCAGCCTTTATCGTCTAGCGGCTGCAGCATCAGGCTTGTTTCAGCAAAGAAGCAGACCTAGGCGTTATGAGAGAGCTGTCAGAGAGACGAGGACGCGGCTCCTTTAAGAGTGGCCAGCGAGGGGGCGTGGCCTGCGGAGAACTGGCCCGAAAGGGGGCGCGGCTCCTTTAAGAAGCGGCCGGTCCGCTGAGAAGAGGGCCCTGAGCCGCAGGAAAAGGCGAGGTCGCTTTCGAAGCTGTAGCACTGCCTGGAGAGCCCGGATTCCTCGAAGCCGGCGCGCTTGGCTTAATCCGGGTGCGAGATGTTGGGAGCGGGCGTTACATCAGCCGCCACGTGTGGGCCTCTCGGCTGGTGTGGGGGCGGTGACCCCGCCCCCCGGCCCCTGCGGTGGAAAAGTACCGGGGCGCCCAGGTCCCCGCCCCCTTGCCCCGCCCCCGGGCCGGCTCGGGCCCCTCCCGGCCCTCCGGGAAAGCCCCCCTCCCGCCCGGCCCCAGCCTCGCGGTCTTCTCCAGCCGGCCGTTGTCTGCGGGGTGCGGGGCACCGGCTGAGGGGGGCGCCCCGGGCGGCTAGGCCCCTACCCTCACCTGCGGCCGCCCGGGCCCGCTTTACGCGCACCCGGAATGAAGCTTGGGGTGGGGAGGGCGCGGATTCTTCCCGGGAGAGCAACCGCCCGAGAACACCGCGGCCGTAGCCCCTTCCCAGAGCCGGGAGCCGCAGACAAGGGTCCGAGGGTCCGAGGCTCCCTGGCACGGTTTCCCAGGACCTTTGGGCGCGCGGGAACCCGCACCCGACCGGCGAGTGGGCGAGCAGATAGGGAGGCAAGCCGGCTGGAGGGGTCAGATAGGCAGCCAGGCCGGCCGGCGGCCGGCGAGAAGATGGAGAGCAGGATCCCGCATGCGGGGCACAGACCCGGCCCGCCGGTCCCCGGCGTCCGCAGGCCCCAGCGCGCAGACCCACTGGCGCCTCGTACAGACGCTCTGGTTCCGGAGCTGCCGGCACTTTCACGCGCCCGCCGCCTGGGACTAAACCGGCATCGGCACGCAGCTCCCCTCCCTCCAGGAGCAGCCACCCCCACCCCCCACCCCACCGCCGCCGCTCCGCGCCGCCGTTTCGCCCGCAGCAGCTCCTTGGTGACAGCGGTGACACCCAGACGCACGCACCTACCCGACCTTTCCGGCGAGACAGACATCCCCACGCGTGCACCCACTCTCATCCACAGATGCCCGCATGCATGCGCGATCACACACACTCGCTCGCTCGCTCTCCCTGGGGCTTAGCCCCGTGGAGCCACCAGACGCCCAGACGGACGGCAGGACAGAGAGAGGCCGGGCCGCAGCGCCCCCTCCCACGGCCGCTTACCATGCTGCAGCCCCCGGCCCAGGCGAGCTGGGTCCGCGCCGCGGTGCGCCCAGGTGGCTCTCTTAAAGGGAAAGTTGCATCAGCCTCTTGAGGCTCTGTGCCGCCGCGAGTCTGCCCGCCCCGCCGAGCTGCTCGCCGCTCCTCCTGAGTTTGTTGTGTTTTGGTTTCGGGGAGGCGGGGGCCAAGAGTTTGGTGAAAGTTTGGAGAGTGAAGAAGGCTGGGGAGACCTAGCCAAGTCCCACCCCTTTCGGAGCAGCTCCCCTGGCCGCCCTGCCCATCCACGCCACCCCCCCACCCCAATCTCATCCCCACCCCCACCCGGCCGGCTTCTCAGGCTCCTCCTCCCAGGGAATAAAATTACAAGTTGCTCCAAGCTTTCCGACGATTGAACCCCACGAACCCCTGGGAGTGGGCTCCACAACGGAGCCCCCTGCTCCGCCCCATCCTCGCTGCCCTCCAGCTGGGGCCCTTGGAGGAAGTAGATGTCGTCCCCTTCGGCTAGGCTGGAATGAAGCCAGAAAGGCCTGGGGCACTTGGGGGACTGGGGCTGGAGTTAGCCTGCCAGGCCCCCGGCCTTCTGCGCCTGCGTTCCCCCTAGAGAGAAGTCTGAGCAAATTCCATCCCCTTTGGAGCGGTGCCGCTGGGGACTGTGGGCACAGCTGGGTAAGGCCTGGGTCCTGCTCCTTGGAACTGGAGGGCTTGGGGGTCCTTTCTCCACGGACCCTCTCACTGGTTTGGTCAAACCTACACTGGCTCGGGTTCTATCCTTGTGTTGGGACGATCCCGTGGAAAAGGGCATGGCAATTCGCTGTATTCTTGCCTAGAGAGTCTCATGGACAGAGTAGCCTGGTGGGCTACAGTCCATAGGGTCGCAAAGAGTTAGACACTACTGAAACGACGTAGCACGCACAGGGGTTGTTGTATTACAAGGGCTGCAGACACCAACCTGGGCCCTATGTTCTCATCCTGGGGAAGCATGCGGAGGTTCCAATCCTAGCTAAAGGAAACTTTGCCAAAGGGAGCTTTGCCGAGCCTCAGTTTCCTGTCCTACAAAATAAACAAAACACCTTGCTCCAGGCTGCCTCTGAGCAGCAAAGCTTGGCAGTTGGTGGAAAGGGGCTCCCACATTTGCTTGTCTTGAGGCCACCAGCTTTCAAGGAGAAGGGCCAGTTAGTACTGGCTGTCAGGGGACTATTGTTGCCCCAGCATGTGCTCAGGAAGGGGACCAGTCTCTTCTCTGCACCCCGAGTCTGTCCTCACTGTTGTCTTCCCAGGAAACCAGTTTTCTTTGTTCCCTGGGGATAGTCACCCTCCAAGAAGCTGATTCACACATGCCAAACTCAAATAAGATCAGTTGACAAGTGAGATTCCACTTTATTAATTTACAGAGGCTCTGAACAAGATAGCAGGTATCAGGGACAGACACTTTCTGCCAAGGAATGCCAGTCCATTCCACCAGGCTTCTCCAGGCCCCAACCACTCAGAACATATAACCTATTCACATTAGAGGCTTGGTCAGAACTGGGATGATTTGGAGATGTTATTCTCATCAGCAAGATTATTTTTGCTTTTACTTTGTCTCCAGCCTTGCAGGTTTGTGATTTGTATTCTGCAGCTTGTTTGTGATTTGTATTCTATGAATGAACCGCAGGTGTCTTACGTGTGTGTGTCCTCTTCCTGAGCAGTCTGTGGCTCCCATGCCCCCAGCTCTTGTGGATTTGTGTAGATGGATCTGTGTTTGGGGGGGAGTGACTGTGCACTGAAGCAGCCCTGGGTCTCAGTGTGCGTGTGTGCCCGACTCTGGGGACTGGGCCCGTGATCCAAGCCTCCCTCCCTCTGCCTTTGCTGCTGGGACATAACTTCTCTTACTGGTCTCTCCCTCCCTCCCTCCTGCTGAGGCTTGTAATAAAGGGCCACGACACAGGGAAGACAGGATGGAGGCTGCTGGAAGATCCTCCATGGAGTGGAGTGGGGACAAAGAAGAATAGGAGGGTGGGACAATGGCCTCCATTCCCCTTGAAGGAGTAGACTGGGCCTGGGGGCCCCTGAGAAGAGAGCCCTGCATGTCAGTGAAGCTTCTGGGACCAACATGGCCACCCCACTCTAAGGACTCCATGTGAACCGGGAGTGGGGGTAGGGAGTGGGCTGGGATTGGAAGAAGCGAAGGGGAGAGCTCAGGGCTCAGTCCTGAGTCAGGGAGAAGGTGCATTTGGGATGAATCCCGGGGCAGGGCGACAGTCTCACACTTTAGTCCGTGGGATGGGGGAAACAGATTTTCCCTAGGGATTTAGGAAAGTTGGTGATGTTGCCCAGATGGGTTTTGCTAGACTGATGACATCACACAAAGTGCATTTGCATACATACGGAGACTTATAGATCTGTGCATTTTACCCATTTTGATCTAGAAAAGACTTCAAGCAGATGCACAATGAGGTGAGTCCTGAGGAAAAGCTTAGGAGAAAGATTCTGGTTTGAAAAATCATCTGTCTCCTCGATTCAGAGACTAAAAGCGCCTGTTTTCTTCCAACCAGAATAAGGCCCCAAGGGAGGCAGGTTTGGGCCTAGCCCAGGTCAGAGCCAAGATGGCTTCACCCCCACTGTGAGCTCCCCACCCTAGACCGCTGGCCCACAGGATGGGAAGGGCATGGCCAGCCTGAGCCATCATGGGGAGAGGAGGGGGATCAGGCCAGAGGGCAGAGGGGAGGACCGGTGGGGTCAGACATCTCGCTGGCTGGCTTCTTCCTGAGCAGGGCAGCAAGAGGACAGGCAGCGGCTGGGCCCCACCCACTGTGGTCTAAGGCGTGTCTCAGGAGCCTCCCGTTGCAGTGCTATTTCCTGGGAGGGCTGGGTCCACGTCAGATGCCCTGGTGCTGACTGGTTTCACTTGTCATCATCAGCTTGAAGAAGCAAGGCTTCTGTCGGGTGGCACAGGGTGTGCTTAGGTCGTGTCTGGTGGGATGCAGGATCAGGCCAGTGTGGGCCACTTCTGGAAGGCACTGTAGGAGCTGGCAGCACTGGGCACTTGGTGGAGGGGTGCGGGGAGATCCTGGGAAGAAGTCGGGGGGAAGGTGGACATTGCTTTGAGGTACAGCCTGACCTGACCAGGCTTGAAGACCCAGCCTCAGGAGCTGCAGAAACCCACCTGGGCTCTGCTCTCAGATTCTTCCTCGCTTGAATGCCTAGTGGTCAGTGCCTAGCACCTTTCCTATCCTGTCCCAATGCAAGGGAGGGATCTAGGTTGGTTCCAGAACCAAGAGCTGCCTCTGGGGCTCCATGTGTCCTTCAGGCCATCCTGCTGTGCTTACTCTGGCCCTGGTCCAGGTGGGCAGCATGAGCCAATTACAGGAATCAGAGCAGGGGCCCAGGCTGGATCTCAGCAGCTGCAGGTGAAATTAGAAAGAGAATTGGAAACATTGACTTTGGCCTGTCTTGGGTACAGCCCTGATGTCCAGAGCATTCAGTGTTCAGATTTCTAAATACCTTAGAGCTCTCAAAATCTAGGATTCCGAACGCCAAGCGTGCCAGAGCTATGAACACCACAGCAAACCCGAAACCTAGAGTTCCCAGCACCCAGAGGCCCTAAATGCCCAGAGCGCCTCATGTCTAGGCCTCTGGGGTTCCTAACATCCAGCGCTCAGAGTGCCAATTCACTGGAGAGGAATCTGGAGTTGGGGGAGTGGTGGCCCTGTTGACCCAGGCCCCTTCAGTGACTGGCATTCCCTGAGGAGTGCCCATCACGGAAGCTGGGCCAGGGGTGGTGCTGGAAGCAGCAGCAGTGCTTCCTTGATGCTCTCATCCTGTCCTGAAGTGGGTTGGAGACTGGTGACTTTTCCTCCAGTACCTCCCCACCCCAGGTCACGTGACCCGGGTAAGTGAATGTCCACTTACTCACCACGTATGAATGTACATCTACTCTGTGCTGGGAACTGCGCTGATTTCTAGGAACTCAGCCCTGAGAGGAAGGGAGCTCCTGCTTTCCTATATGGGAACGTGAGCCTATGTCACGTGCCGGTGTGAGACAGCATGTCTCTGACGCCCACGAGTAGTCAAGGGCTTGGCTGTGAGAATGAATGGCTGCTGGCCTGCGAGAGCCTGGATGTCAGGCTGTGAGCACAGACCGTTAGCAAGTTGATGTGTCTGACGGTCAGAGCGGGGCTCACTATGTCTATCCATCAGGCCGTCTCTGCCTCTCTGCTTTCTTAAGGGGTGGAGGTAAGGTCCCCATTCCGCTGGATCAGGCCTCCCTGTGAGGAGCAGGAGGCTAGTCCTGGGCTAGAGGCTAACACCCAGAGCTGTCCTGTTGAAGGATGAGAGATTCCTCCCACTGCCCCTGCCCCCGCTGAACCCAGAGCCTCCTTGGATTGGGAGGAGTGGCTATAAGTGGAGCAGCCAACACCAAAAATAGCCATCCACCCTGGGGAGAATCCTGAGACACCACCCCCTCCTCCCAGTCCAGCCCAACCCAGCTCACTGACCTGGAGCCTGGGTAAGGCTCCTGTCTGACTCTGCTTCCCCGGGTCCTGTCTGAGTAACCCTTTCAGCCTGGGAGGAGGAAGAAAGCCATGATGTGCCTACCAATGATGACATCACAGGGAGCTGTGACATGATGGGGAGTGACACCGGGGCCCCAAGTGGGTGGGGTCTGGCGGCCCGAGTGGGTGGGTCTCCATCTGCTGGCAGCACCCCACAACTCCCAGCAGCTGAGGATGGCGAAGCTGGATAAGGTTTACTGAGGGGGCCCTGCCTTATCAGTCTCCCCCACATGCCTGATAAGCCTCTTACCCGTGGGCTAGCTCAGGGAGCAGGCCAGGAGCAGGCTGGAAGAGGGGAAAGGGTCAGCTGGGGCTGGCTGAGCTCCAGGGCAGACAGCCAGGGCAGGGAGTCCTGGCAGAGCCCCAGAAAGGGGGTGGGAGGGGTCCCCAAGACAGACATGGCCGCCTGCATTCTTATCCCAGGACTTCCATTTGATAGCCAGGTAAACTGGAACCTCGATTTCCTCAGTATTCCTCAACAGAAGACTATCAGTAGTGACTACCAATCACAGTACTGTTGTAGGGGATTAAACAGGGTGAAGTAGGCACGGAAGAGGGCCTGGTACATAGTAAGAGCTCATCCTCCTTCCTAGGGAAGGCTGGGATCCTATCAGGGACCCACCTTGCCCAGGAGCGCCTCCCGGCTGGCTTGGGCCTTGCTGGGGTTTCCAGAGTCTGTGCAGCCCCATCCCCACCCCATCCCAGTCTGCGCTTGACTCCAGATTCCCCAGGAATCCTGGTCTTCCTGGCAGGATTTCTTCCAGTGTCCCACACTGACATCTTGGAGCCCTGGTGCCCTCTGGTGACAAAATCCATCCATGGCAGTTACAGCCTATCCTTAGGGCACATCTGTCTTTACACCTTCCTCACATCATGTTTCCAAGGTAGGAATTATCCCCATTTTCTAGAACTGAGGCTCAGGCAGGTTAAATAATTTGCTCAAGGTGAAAGAACTAATAAGAGGTAGAACCTGAGCTTGAACCCAGGTTGGCCAGTCTCCAAAACCTATGCTCTCACCTTGCGAACAATGTACACACACGGCCATGCAGTGACCCAGTCAAGAGTTTTATGTGCCATACTGATAACTGGATTGCAGCGATGCTTGGGTGTGTGCTCATTGAAATTCTTCAACTGTGAATACAAAATTGTGTGACTTGGTTTTGAGCATGGTGAGGTTGGATGTTTGACCATGGAGGTGTTTTGCGTGGCTGTATGATTGTATTGTGTGAGTGTAACCATAGTTAGGCTGGTCGCTTATGTTGTGTGAAATTAGCCATGACAGAGTGCAGCTTTGTGTGTGTGTGTGTGTGTGTGTGTGTGTGTGCGACTGTTGTGGAGGGGTGTGTGGCTAGCTAGCGAGATTGTGTGGGGGAAGCTGACCGAGGGCCCTGAGTTCCCAGCACCGCTTGCCTCTGTGGTCCCAGGACTGTGTGTGCTCACCATGACACCCTTGATGGATGGCTCCACATGCCTGATACACTCCCTTGGGCCTCCCGGTTCTTAATCCTCCCCTCTCCCCCACTTTTTTTTGGAGGAAGTAAAGCAAATAGTGCTGCCAGTGGAATTGGCTTTCATTTTTTTTTTCCATAGGATATTTGTGAGAGCATTTTATAAACCTTTGAGTGATAACTCCTTTAAAAAATCATTTAAAAAAGAAAAGTAAATATAGCTATTCTAATTCTTTCATTTGAATTCAAGTGTCAGTTCTTATCTGTTCTCCAGGTCTTGTTCACAGATCCCTGGGGGTCTCCAGATCTACAAGGCAAAAATGATGTTCATGCTACTAAATTGTTCTTTGCCATTTTCACTTGGTTGATATTTGCATTGATGACAGAGGGCAGCTGTGGGTAGAATTGCTGGCACCAAATAGGAACCAAGGTGTGGCTCCCGACTGTACCAGCAGCCTCTCTCTTTTTTTTTTCTGCCACTGCACAGGCTCAGTACAAAAAAAAAAGAAGGAAAGGCCGATTTTGCTGTTGATAAAGCAACAAAATTATAAACTTTATTATAAATCTCAACTCTTGACTACATCTTTTCAACATTTCATGTGACAAAGAGGAAGTGTGCATATAGAAGTATGATAGTTATCTCCAGGAAAAACACTCAAAACGATTGAGTTGTGAGGTGAAAGTCACTTTTCTCACTGACTGGCTACTTTCACTTAAAAGAGCACATGACAAAAATAGTTATTCAGACTTGAGTTTTTGGCATGATTTTCTCAAAAAGTGAATGAAGTGAGCCTGTCACTTCAAGGAAAGAAAACTATTAGTGTTTTGGTCAGTGATACAATTAGAGCTTTCAAGTGAAAATTAGAGTTTGGAAAACTTCCATCTGCTACCGTGAGTTTGAAAGCTTCCCAAGTTTGATGAGATTGGTAATGACATTAATGAATGTACAGGCTTTTCTGTTTGTTTGGATTTTTGTTTTGTTGGTTGGTTGGTTGTTATTGTGTATAATGAGATGTGTCAACATTTTGAAGATCTGATAACTAACTCAGTGAACCAGTATTTTCCAAATGACCAGGGTACGAGTTACAGAAACATGCACAGTTAAAAGACCCATTCAAAATGCAAGACAGACCAGTGGATTTTAATAGAATATAATCGGTTCGTTGATGTAGTTTCAGGTTCCACACTGTCACTAATGTTTAAGAAATGACACCTGTTGAGTTTTGGTGTAGTATCAAAGAGGAATAGCCACAGCAAACTAAAAGACTATAGTTGTTGTTGTTTGGTGGCCCAGTCGCGTCCGACTCTTTTTGGAACTTTTTTCAACTGTAGCCCTCCGGGCTCCTTTGTCCATGGGATTCTCCAGGCAAGAATACTGGAATGGGTTGCCATTTCCTTTTCCAGAGGATCTTCCCAACCCAGGGATCAAACTGGTGTCTCCTGCGTTGGCAGGTGGATTCTATACTGCTGGGCCACCTAGGAGGCCTGAAAAGACTATTAACTTCTCTCTTTTCCAACTACAGATATTGTGAAGCTCAGTTTCCTTCACATCTTGCAACCAAAACCATTTACTGCAACAGACTGAGTACAAAAGCAGGTATGAGAATCAGTATGAATCAACATGAATATCAACAGATAAAACTCAAACAAAAATTTTTGTGTCCTCAATTAAAAAAAAAACTTTTAATTTTATATTGAAGTACTTTTTCCAGTGGTCATGTATGGATGTGAGAGTTGGACTGTGAAGAAAGCTGAGCGCTGAAAAATTGATGTTCTTGAACTGTGGTGTTGGAGAAGACTCTTAAGAGTCCCTTGGACTGCAAGGAGATCCAACCAGTCCATCCCAGAGGAGATTAGTCCTGGGTGTTCATTGGAAGGACTGATGCTGAAGCTGAAACTCCAGTACTTTGGCCACCTGATGCGAAGAGTTGACTCACTGGAAAAGACCCTGATGCTGGGAGGGGTTGGGGGCAGGAGGAGAAGGAGATGACAGAGGATGAGATGGCTGGATGGCATCACCGACTTGATGGATGTGAGTTTGAGTAAACTCCAGGAGTTGGTGATAGACGGGGAGGCCTGGCGTGCTGCGGTTCATGGGGTTGCGAAGAGTCGGACACGACTGAGTGACTGTACTGAACTGAACTGATAGCCAATTAACAATGTTGTGATAGTTTCAGATGGACAGCAAAGGGACTCAACCATACATATACATGTATCCATTCTCCCCCAAACTCCCCTCCCATCCAGGCTGCCACATAACATTAAGCAGATTTCTCTGAGCTATACAGTGAAAGGAAGTGTCAATCACTCAGTCGTGTCTGACTCTTTGCAACCCAGTGGACTGTAGCCCTCCAGGCTTCTCTGTCCATGGGATTCTCTAGGCAAGAATACTGAAGTGGGTTGCCATGCCCTCCTCCAGGATCTTCCAGACCAGGGACTAAACCTGGGTTTCTTCCACTGTAGGCAGATTCTTTACCATCTGGGCCATGGACCTTTAAGATGCTATACAGTAAGGTCCTAAATTACTTTTAAGTGTAAAGGGTCCTAAGATAAAAAACTTTGAGAACCACTGATTTAGAGTTTTACTTAAAAAAGAACAAAACTGTATTTTAAAACTTGCTAAGAAACTAGATCTTATTTGTCCCTATAATAATAATGATTATATAAAATGATAGAGGTGTTAGCTAATCCTACAATGGCTATCACACTGCAATATATAGATGTATCAAATTAATATGTGGTCCCTTTAAATGTACACAGTGTTATATGTTAATTTTATCTCATTTTTTAAAAAAAGGAGACTTTACTTTTTCCTTGTCAATATTAATATACTATTAGAGAATAAGCTTCTTTTACTGCTGCCATCACAACGCAAAGAAGTCACAGATTTTCCGCATTTTTACGGTGTGCCTGGCGGCATTTCTTTCCCTTTGAATGTTCACCTTGTCACCTTCGCCCCGAACGGCCTGGTTTTCCTTCAAGAGAAGAAAAATTGATCCCTCAGTAGCTCCTACCTCCAGGAGCAATGACGTCGGCCAGTTGTCTGGCTGGTCTATCTGTAATTACTGGCCCTCCTTCTCATCCCATCTCTCCTGTTTCTAAACATCCTTTTTAAAAAGGGATTATTTGTTGAGTACTGTGTTAACTTTATATTCATCTTCTCATTTAATCCTCACAATGATTCTACAGGCTAGAAACTATGATTGTCATTTTCTAGGTAAGAAAACTCAACCTCAGAAGGGTTAGGAGAAGCCTCTAGGAATGGAAATGACTTTAAAGCCCTTTTAATTCACACATTCAAGAAGTTGCCCAGCTGATTTTTGGTACTTGAACAAGTGTTCTTAGTAATAAATTACCACTAAAGGGAGACATGAGCACAGATCCGCACCTGAGCCCTGACGATGTTTGGGTCCTGGCCCCATGAGAACCACCCCCCCCCCCCATGCTGAGAGTATGTCTGAGCCCTACTGATGATGTCTTGCCTGGACTGTTTCCAGAAGCTTTATGCTGAGCCTTCATCCCCACTTCACCCCCACTTTCTCCCCAGTGGTGTCTCTGAGCCCTTACCTGGGGCAACATGCTTGAGTTCCTCACCGCACCCTATATACCTGGGCCCTGCGATCCACCATCACTCCAGAACCTCACTCCTGGAGTTGAGATCTAGGTGGGTTCAGACTCCAGGATGGCACCTTTTAGGGAGCAGCAGAAGAAGTGGGGGCTGGAGGGTGAGGGGAGCGGGTAGAGATGGCGTGTGAGCTGAGAGAAGCAGGCAAGGAGAGGAGCCTTGTGCTGTCAGCCCCCACCAGAGCCAGGAATGTTCCCAGACAGTGCTGACCTCTCACCCCAGCCCACTTCAGCTCAGGATCCACAGCCCCCACCAACCCCACTTCAAGGACCAGCAGCCGCCTCTGGAGCAACTGGGGCATTACCATAGCAACCAGGCCAGACAGGATGGGAGTGGTGTGGGGCTGCTTTAAAGTCTTTTATTGCTTCAAAACATAGGCCTGTTCCTCTCCTTGTGGTCGTGTTCAGGGGCCCTGAGGACTGGGAGATCCAGACCAGCAGGGTCCATCCGCTCCCCACCGTGTCTGTCAACTCAGGGAAGGAAGCCTCTGTGGTCTCAGCCAGGTTCTAGCCAGCACAGTCCAAGAGGAAATTCAGGCTCTCAGTCCGGGCCCGCCCCACCCCAGCACTCTGGATGCTGGAGAATGTCTCTTCGGGGCGTTCTGGTGGCAGAGCTGGAAGGGAGGCGGGGAGGGACTGACCCCTTGCCTCTGCCCCTCCGGGCTGAGACGTATTAGGGATGTGACCTTGTCAACTGAGCACCTGATGGGAGGAGTGGAGGAGTGTGCAACGTGGGGCTGCTCAGGGCTCGGTGACCTAGACTGAGGCCTTGTGCAGGCGATTAGCTGTCACGCTGGGTCTAAGCTCCTTACCCTCAGAACTCTAGCCTCTCCACCCCTAAGTCTAATGCAGAGGTGAGGGGTGGGGGAGGGCCTTGATAGGTCTACAGTGACCCATTTAGCATCACCAGCTGTGGCCCCGTGGGGTCAGGCTTTTCTGCGTCCCTATGTCTGTGAACCTCTCTGCTTCTGGGACTCCTCTGCCCGCCTCGCCTTATGTGGTGCCTGTGTTTCGGTCTCTCCAACTCCACGTGTATTTCGGGCCCTGTCTTTGTGAAGGGCTCTGTGGCCCTGACTCCTTGAAGCCCTGGTGGGTTGACAGAGGGGCACAGATACCACTAGGAAATGGGCTACACAGACCTCAGGGACGGGGCCGTGGGTGACAGCAAGTCTTTCGAGACACAGACTGGCAGGTGATGTGAAGGCTTAGACAGCACAGGGCCTCGGTGGCAAGGCATTGCGGGTGGCTCAGGTTTGAGGGACATTGGGCTGTTCGTACTAGACACACACATTGGGTGACTCTGAGTTTGTGGCTAACGCAGGATCTGGTGACTCAGAGTGATTCAAAATGAGTTCTCGGGCAGCCGAGCGACCACAGTGGTTCTTGACTAGGGCAATTTGTCCCTTTCCTGCAGGGACATTTGGCCGTGTGTGGAGACACGTTCGGTTGACACATCTGAGGGGAAGGTGTGCTATTAGCACGTCGCTCGCGTGTAGAGCCAGGATGTTGCTCCGCCGTCCACGTGCACAGGCCAGTCCCGCACAAGTACCTAAATGTGGGGGCCTACTCTGAAACCCGACTGCCAAGCTGAATCCTAGCTCCTGCCCTCTGCGACTCTGGGTGAATCTTCTTATGTCTAATGTGAAGTACGCAGGCAGTACCTGTCTGGGGTTTTGGGATTGCTGAGCTGACTCTTGTCAAGTGTGTAGAATTGGGCCTGGCACGGAGTAGGTGGTGTTTTTTGACTCAGGCCTGGAGAGAACAAGGGTAGGTTTAAATTCAGTGACTCAAACGTTCTCTCCCTTTCTCATTACAGTTTCTACTTTGGACAGGCTTCTTCCATCTCAGGAAACCACATGGCCAAAAGCGCTTCTGTCTTATAGTTACCGACCAGGGTTCTCGGCCTTCCTTGTAGGTCAGTCCCTAAGTCGTGTCTGACTCTGCAACCCCATGGATTGCAGCATGCCAGGCTTCCCTGTCCTTCTCTATCTCCTGCAGTTTGCTCAAACTCACATCCATTGAGTTGGTGATGCCATCCAACCATCTCATCCTCTGGTGTCCCCTTATCCTGCTCTCAATCTCCTGCCCTCATCAGGGTCTTATACAATGAGTTGGCCCTTGGCATCAGTTGGCCAAAGTACTGGCCTTCCTTTCTCAATAAAAAATAAGAGGCCAGACAAGAAATTCAGGCAAGGGCTTACTGGGGCTTCTACTGCAGCAAGGGGAAACGAAAACAAATAAGTTTCCCTTGCTGGCTCCGTGAGCAGGGAGGGCAAGGTGGTTCTGTGCATGGGGCGAAGTTAGGGGCATGTCAGGGGTAGGGCCAGAGGGGTGGCGTGAGTGGTTTGCCCACCCCTGGGTGCTGTTGAGTGCAAGTGGCATGTGGAGTACCCTGCTTTTGCTCCCAACCCTGGCTTTCGTCCCCAACTCTTTAGAAGTGGCCGTTGGGTTTCTGGCCTTTTTATATCTTGTTGTCTATAACCTGTCCTAACTGCACGTGCGTGGGTAGTTCTCATGCTTTATAGTTTCTTTGTGTTTTTGTTGCTCCAGGAATGTTTGTCCAGATGTAAGCATGCAGCAAAGGGTCCCAGGTGCCAGGTCTCTGCCGGTCTCTTCATGTCATGCAGGCGTAGTTATTTCTGAGGAAAAGAGACAAATACCTATAAATCCCAAATAAATGGCTCTGATAGGCTAAGTCTGGGTCACCTGACCACCCACATTTCACAGAACACCATGTAAATAGATTAACTCTTCTGTTCTCCAGGAGGACTTCCCCGGTGACTCAGCAGTAAAGTATCTGCCTGCAGTTCAGGAGACCAAGGTTAGGTCCTTGGGTTAGGAAGATTGACTGGAGAAGGAAATTGCAACCTACTCCAGTATTCTTGCCTGTGAAATCCCATGGACAGAGGTGCCTGGAGGGCTATAGTCCAGAGGGTCACGAACAGTCAGACACAACTTAGCAACTAAACAACAACAGCAACAAATTTTTCATGACAACTCCCTGGAATAGAACTCT